CAAAAACTTTCAAACGATGTACTTATCAATTTAAAATAAAATATAAACATCAATCTATTTTTGTCTATCAGCCATACTGGTTAAGCAAGGTGCTTTACAGATTGATTCCAAATTTTTGAACGGAAAAATATATTCGAACACACTGACGGTGCATGGGCAATTATTTCGTTAAAAAAATATTCCGTTAGATTGTTCTGACTGAGTTAAACGCTTGCATTTGAATTAGCCAATCAGATTTCGCGCACTTTACGGCCGCCATTTGTTTATCAGCTGTAAAAGGAATTGAAATACATTAGAGGAATTAATCATGATTTTTCGGATGTGACAGTTTAATTATTTTGACAAAAGGTATTTATTTTTTAGTTTTGTTCATAAATAGGTCAAAAATTATGTAAATACACGCTGTCTTCATTGTTTTTCTTTCCGCCCGATTTTCTGGCGGAACATGCTATGGGTTTTTGAGCAATTTCGATATGATGTTGCTTTGCCCAGAAGCAAAAATATCTCAAAGCGACGTCATATTTATAGGACTAGGAGTGTCCAATCCCTGTAATATAAATCGGTGTATGAACTTATAACAAAAATGTACCCTAAAAATTTAAATATAAACAACAATATATGTTTATCTTAATGTCTTAGCAAAGTCACAAGTTTATTTTTCTTACAAAATCTCAAAGTTCTGCTCATTTCAACAGAAAGAATGAAAGTTATAGCTGGCTTTGTCAGGCCTAAAAAAAAAAATAAAAAATTGTTTTGTTAGGGTAACATGCTCTCAAGGAATAGGTAGGGTAGGTCGGATTTTTTTTTTTTTTTTTTTTTTTGAAATTTAGATATGGAAATTTCTGACATCCCTCCCGGGTGGCACAAATACATCCCTTCTATGTTTTCAAAAGACATTTCAGGTGTAACAATCTTAAACTCTCAGCGTTCTTCTGGTGAAGATCACATGCCGTTTTACAAATATTGACGATGTGATCTGCCATTTTGTAACTAAGAGCGGCGTTTAAACCTGTGCCGTACCCAGGGCTCATCCTGGGGGGAAATTTTAGGGAGAAGTGACTTCCTCGTGAAAAATCGGCAGAAGGGAAACATCCCAATGTTTATGCATTAACATGCATGGCTATACATCCTTTAACTAGAATAGAAACACAATCTATTTATCAGCTATTTATAAGCTTTCTCATATATTTTTGATAATAATGTGTAAGAAAACTATGATGAATAAATTAACTTTATGTTTTTACTTTCCAGATAAAGTTACATTGGATAATGATTAATAAAATCTGTCTATCCTGTTCTGTTTACAGAAATTTCTTTATATTGTCATATTTATGTGCATATAATTATGCTTATAAAACAATTTTCAAATATCGAAGAATATGTAAAATATGTACTGCAAACATTTGTGCACATTATATTTGATCACTAAAATTATATACATTCATTTCTTATTGAAAAATTCGACTGAGAAATTATAGAAAATAAATTTCTAATTACCTCCCTTTATTTTCATGAAATGTTAAACTCGGTAATATCTTTATAAATAATGCTTTTTGAAATTTACAATATTAATAAATCTTAATCTGAGCGTCATATTTATGACATTAAAACAAATATGTATATATTGAAACAATAAGTACACTTCTTTCCTGACAAATTTTGTTGTTATATACATGAGCACATGATATACGACCGATATGTCGCATGCCGATCATGATTCGTAGTTTTAGGATGTCGTGCCCACGTGCGTACAAGCTGTGTCAAATTTGGCATTTCTACAAAGATAACAATGCAAAACACTCTCACTGTCTACAACATACCAATCATAAGATTTTTGCGAATTGACTAACAGTTTTGTGATAGCCGTGAAAAACCCATTGGACATCGCCTTTACTTCGGTTAAACACCGCGTGCATATCAATTAGGGAAGATTTGCACGTGTTTAGATGATCGGAAAAAAATTAATCTATAATTATCGCCAAATCCCGTATTAAACTCGCAAAATATACCCGTTTCGGGCCGATGCTCTCATTATTTACTGTTTAGAGTAGACGGTCTATCGCTTTGCATACAGGTAGAGGGGTAGTATATAGCGATGCTCTGATTGGATAATGATAATTAGCAGTCGTCATATGGGCGGATACAATCTCTGCTCTTTACATCGGCAAGTAATTACTCTTTGGGAATTAAGATTTTATTGGCGATGCTGACTTCTCTTTGATCAATTGGGAGAGCGAAATGGAAATATACACAGCGAAATTTTCGCCTGAATTGCCCTTCACACTGCTCATTGAGTACCTCAATAATACGGTATTTTCCAGTGATTAATCTAGAAATTCCTTACAATGCGTCGGATGACGCACATGTTTGAAAACAATGAGTCCTGTAGCAAAATCAATGAGTCCTGTAGCAAAATAAATGCGTCTTAGCAGAATTTTTTTTTTAATAGCAGATCCCTTGACATGATTTGCATGTTTATTTAACAAGCGATTAAGTAATTAAAGTGTATAAAAAAAGTTATTTTTGGTACTTATATTAATTGCAGGCAAAACAATTTTTATTGGCTGCTCAAAAATCTAATTTGCATAATTTATATTTTCTTACTACTTTTGTCTAATACTGTGCATTATCCATTTTAATTGTTCGTAATTTGCACAAAATGTCCCTATCACACTGTATACATACTGACGACTTTTATTGCTCCTTGTATGCCTGCCTCTGTGTAGAAAGCATACACAGACAGACCTTTTGATCATGAAAAAAAGTCATGCACAATGTTTCCCCGATTGGTTAATCACCCTGTCAAATATTCTGATGACGTAATAGACATCACACTCCACGTGAACTTGAGTGACCTTAGGGGAAATTATTACACACCTGTCAGATTATACTGTAACTTACAGCATTTCTTAAAATAGCAACACTTTTTTTCAGTTACCGATAATTATTTAAAATATTAAGTAGATTAATGATTTTTTGTTTGCTTTATTGGATTAAATTTACGGTAGTAGAAATGCGTATCTGTGTGGGAAAGGGATTAGGTAAGTAGATAACTTGGAAAAATGCTATAGGGAAATGGATAAACTCAAGAATATGTGTAATTACAGGGGAATGGGCAACCTGTTGCTGTTGGTTCCAGTTTTGTCTGGATGACTAAATAACATACAAAATAAGTCTGGGACAGATTTTAGATGCGCCTTTGGCCTTTTGCTGACGATTTTCCTGTGCCCTTCTCATTTTTAGCGCCAATGTCTGCATATTTCACCATTGTAGGTGATTGCTCTCATGCAAAATGGACGCTCTGATTGGCTAATGCCGATAATGGGCTGTTACCGATCACAAGCAACAATTGCTTGGGATTTAACGTTTCAAGCAAATGGGGGATTAGTCTTGCACCTGTTATTATCGGAAATTAAATTATTCAACTGAAGAAATTGAAAAATTATATAACTAATGAAATTAAAGTAATCAAACGGTACATAGAAATCACTTGTCGTGATATTTTGGATTATAAACTACCTGATTTGCATGCGTCAAATTGAACGCACATATTTTGAAACTGTGCGTCTTTTTCGATTTTTATGCGTATTTTACGCAAGACGCACATCTAGATTAATCACTGATTTTCATGGATTTTTTTTTTTTTGGACATGAAAAAAACGGTAGGGTCGGCGCATATTATTAGGTAGGGTCGGGTGACCCGAACAGAACAATTTTTGTATTTTCTGATCGCAAGATCAGTAAATACATAGCTAACATCCACGGTCTAACACAAATTTTCCTAACAGACCTAACAACGCAAAGTAGGTCTCACTAAGAACTGCTTAAAAACCAGCAATCTAAAATAAAGAATAATTTTTAATGTATGCATTTAACGAATTACAGTGCATTAAAAGTTTAGAGTAGTCAATAGAAATATGAGGTTACAATCACAAATTTCGCGGATGAATATCTTTTTTACCCAATGAAAACTGTTCGGCTATTTCCGTAAAGCTTAATCAATGAAAATGCTATTTTTAGCTATGTCGATTACCGAATACTCCAGAGCGTAGTACACATAAATCTGACTGTCGAGTAGTGGAATATATATTTTTAAGAGAAGATTTTCGCTAAATTATTTTCATCAGTGTTACACAACAGGTTTATAGTCAAGAAAATACCTCGAAATTAGTAAGGATTACATACACGGAATGGAAATTCTCAATTTAGAATTACAATGTATTCTACATATGTATACTTCACCGCACGCTCGTTTAGGGTGTGAGAGGCCCAAGGTTCAAATCCTAGTCGAGGCAACTTTTTTTTAAGTGTCTTTTTTAAGGAAGTAGCCACGATATGCAAATATTAAGTATGGCTGTCATAAAAAATGAAAATGATTTTTTGGTGCAACTCTAGTCATGCAAAATTCCATATGTATCAATCTCAAACTGTTATAGACGCAGTCGCTGCGTAAGATTAATTATATAGTATATAAAAATAAACTTATATAGTACAGTATAGTATACTTATACATACAGATAGTCAGTATGATTTAGATTGCAAAGATCAGAAAATACCACAGAGGTTGCAGCCCTTTGATTTTTTTTAGGCCTCATGTTGTTTCATAAATATAAATTCCTTTTCTCATTATAATCTATATTTTATACAAACAAAAATGAATATTGTTATATTTGGTTGTAATTTGGGTATTTCGTGCAACCGGTCCGGTACGGCTAGCCACTGCCTTCATCGATACCTGCACATACGTGAACTGCTGAAAGTTTATATAGAACCTACATGTAATTATGTACGAACACCTAGGAATTCTACGATTTAAATAGAAATTATACATAGAGTCATAAAGTGACTTCATGGATAAAATCGTCGGAACAAAAATGTCATATTTTGAAACCCTGATAAACTGATAAACACTGGTGAAGCACACCCAGGTAGATATTTATAAATCTTCCAAAACGTTACATAAACTAAATTTAAATTCTAATTAACTTAATTAAATTTACCTGACACTGTAAAACAAACGGCACAGAGGCCTAATAGCGTTAATAATCCAGTCATTTTTCTTCGCTTCCTGAATTGAACATTTGAAAACAAATATGGCGGTTTGCTGATTGGGACAACAACCTTGACATAAAAGGATGACACGTATTACTCCGCCAGGTAACTGTCAATTTACAGAAAGTAGTCCCAAATGCAGTGAAAGAGAAGCATTTTTAATGCAACATCGATAATACCTATTGTATTTTATCTTCCCTTTGTATTATTAAATTAGTATGTTTATTTATTTTCTTGTATGACAATTAAAATAAATTCAGCATATTCTTCAAGTACACGCTTTTAAGACGGACTATTTTTGACCTGAGATTTTTGAATACACATTCTTAAAATAGTTAAACAGCCGTCCAACGCATCATATATTTAGTGCATGACTAAGTTTTGTAAACACGCAATGAGTGTTTTTACTTGTCAATTACTATCAAGACTGACAAATAATTTCCCGAACCCACAGCATTCATGGTATTGATAATACCAACCACATATAAAATATAGTTTAGGTACGTTGTGCATACTACAAATGTATAATATTTATGTACTGAGTTTGTCCCACATCAATTCAAAACGGATTTTTGGGATTTTCTTTTAAATTTAGAATTATGCATAAATAAAATTATTATAAACAAGAAGTATATCTTTAAAAAGATACTTGAGATGCAGTCATTTAGAAATGTTAATTAGCATTATTAGCCATACGGCTTGCAAAAATATATAAAGAGTACTGTATAAACATTGTATTAGTTGAACGTATCAATAATCATATAATAAATTAGCACTTATCGAACATCATAAACCAAGGGTACCTGATAAGTTCTGATATTATTCTCGTTATTTTGGACAATTAAAAAAAACAACAACCTCATGCAGTTCTTGTGTAAAATCAGAGACATAGATAATATGCCTCTGGTAAAATAAACTCAGTAAGTTCATCGTTAAATAAACTGTTCAATGACAATGACAAAATTTATTTGCTTTTTGGCCTCCAGCCCATGCAATGAGATCTGAATCAGAATGAAAGTAGTATTGTTAAACATCTTAGCAATTTAACTAGAAAGTTAAAGAACTATCCTATACAGTATATTTTATTCCATAATGTCTGGCGGAGAAAAATGTGCAGGGCTCGAACCCGGGACAATCGGAATACCGTTCCGCGGCTCTACCGACTGAGCTATCCTGCCGATTACAATCTTCTCCCCTAATTAGTATTGACACATCTCCCCTAATTAGTGAACAGTTCTGAACCGTGACAACTATCATTGTATACACACCGGTCTCTCAAATAAGACCGACAACTATATCATTAGCACTATATTAGAATAACAAGAACTATCCTTTACATTTTATTTTAGAATGGCCAATGATAATCCCAGATTTTATTTTGTAATTTAAAATGTCCAATGAAAAGATTTTTTACGGAATTCCATAAACGACCATAAACGACAGCCTACTGCTCACTGCCTACTGCTAACTGGACAGCCTGCTGCTCACTGCCTACTGCTTACTGCTTATTGACAGTCTAAAGGCCTCAACAGACGGTAGGATTTTGAAGTACAACACCAATTAAAAACTAAGATGTACAGACAAATCTTAATGTGTGAAGGGTACTATTTCTTGATTTCGGAAACCTTATGTCAAGATGTAAGGGATAGGACATGTTCTATTTTGAAAATCTTGTCGTACCGATTTTTATAGACCTCCCACAATGACAAGTAACAGATAACCAAATTATCTCCTGATAATGGGTTTAATGAATGAAATTCCAGAACAATTAGGGCTAAAAGGTAAACATAGTAGTAATAAGATGGGGTAAAAATGATGTTGAAAAACTCTTCAGGAGACCCAAAGTTGTGTTATGTTCGAATCCCAAATTATTCCGAAAATGATTATGTCACAGTATTGAATTGTTCTCTAATTAGGGGAGGGGAGGTAGTTTGTAGGCGACCAGATAGCTTAGTCAGCAGAGCCGCAGTACGGTATTTCGAAGGTCCTAGGTTTGAGTCTCGGTCAGGCTTAACATTAAAAATATATATACATGTATATATATTTTTTAAATGGAGGGTTTTCAATCATTACTCATGGCGAAAAAAGTATTTAGTGAGTAAAGTATGTAAAGGATCAATGTAAAGGGATCCTTTTTAGGGGAAACCTCAGATGATTCTTACAGTGTAGAATTACCGTCTGAATGCAAGTGTTGTATAGCTTTGAAAATTGTACATCTTATCTCTAATTAGTGCTGTACAGCTAAATCCTACCGTCTGTTGAGGCCTTAAGTCTATGTATGGATCAAATAGAAGTATTCCGAATGTACACACATGTAAATCAACTTAATAATAAATTATTCACAAAGAATCTGTGTTCAACAATCAACATGGACGGTCTTGAGCCCACTATTCCTCGTTTAAGAGGCGGAGATCTGGACCATTATGTCAACACTCCCATATTTTATTTAGAATTTCATAGTTTATTAAACTTTCATTTGACAACATTTCTAGAAGAATATCTGTAATATACTGGTGAAATCACTGGTGAAATTTAGGCTAAACATTCTCTCATAATCAAACATGTGTGAGTTCATTTACGAGATCATTTTAGTTCAGTTTTAATTGGCTGTTAGTTATAGCTTTTAAATGTGTAATTCCTTATTAGATGTTATGTTATGCATTTATGTTAAGTTGATTGCAACTCTTGATAGTTTATGTTGCAAAGATATGTGCTTTGAAGGTTAATTATAGAATCAATTTTATTCCAGTACTGAGGATGATAAATCTGACAGAAACATTTCAATGGAGGAACAGCCTATACTTTTATTGACTTCACAGACAAGTAACAGAACCAATAAATACACCTGTATGAAAATATTGAAATAACAGTGAAGAAGGAAAAGGACTACATAAATGTATTTGTTCTTATAGACAGTTTAACTGGCTTCCTTCTGAAAGCATAAAGAAAGACAAACTTGGCTGTATTCAAATTGTTTCAAAAACGTTAATATTTCAATGAGATAAAGAATGCAAACATAAAGTGATAAATTACAGTTTGGATCAGCTTATTTTTCTTTTATGAAAAGCCATTGTGCTATTGAAAAAACTCTGAAAAATAATAGATTATTACTATTCAAAATTTACTTTAAAAATGCTGATAGACAAAATAATCATGTTAATGTTACAATATATTTTTTGACGTGTTTGTTTAAAATCCATCTTTATATAATTTTTATAATTATCTTGTTAACAAACACACTTAAAAGTGAACTTTAAGGTTGGTTATTTTTTTCTATTTCTTTTTGCAATTACCGCAAGTAAAACCAATAAGCAAATCTGCCTTCGTATTTGCCAGAATCATTCAATGAAGTCATTACTATTTCTATCTGGGTTCTAGAAGTTTGACAACTAAGGTAAACAGTAGTGTAGAGCTTCTATGGTATAACATGAAGCATTTTTAAGTTACCTTTCTTACAACGTGTATATCAATTTATATTGCAGAGTATATTTACATTAATATGATTAATCTCATAACAATTATATAATTCATAACAGAACTTCGAATTATAATTTTGCTTTTATAATAATTACTCCCAGAAACTTTACAAATATGTTATATAGATTTTGATTTTTTTTACAGGTGTGTCATAATTTTTATTTATAAATAACGGTGTATACAAGAAAATATTAGCTTACTGGTCTCATTATTGGGACTAAACATACTTTTTATATGGCGTTATAATCAAGTGTATTTTGTTTTTCATTTTAATTGTAAATAAAAAAGTTCTTTAAAAATAAAATATCATAATTTTCTTGTAATTTTGTTTATGCTTAGGTCCCCGGAAAACAAAATTGTGACAAAATGAAATGAAATTGGTTATATATATGTTAACCATGAAGCAAAGTTTGTTTGTTGAATGTTGTAACATGACCAAGTTGGAAAAAACAATATTCAACATTGTCCACATTTAAATAGTGTCTTAGTCCATCAATTTTAAATGCATAGGATCGCGAAAAGTATGTATTAGGAAGATGAAGATTACGTTATATCATTAGTTCCATAAGAAATTCATCTGAAGCTCCAATATCTGGCAAGTTAACTGAATATTTCTCTTCAAAACAGCTTTACAAGTTCACCTAAAGACAATGAAATAAAAATACGGCCGTCCAGCAATATATTGATTAATCTGTTTTCTTTCCTGTGGTTTTAATGCCTTTATCATAAGTTATAAAAATCAGAATGTAACACAGGCAAAACTGCAAAAACTTAAGAATAACATGCGGAAGGCCTCAAATTTAGGATACCGCAGTTCATCATATCGTTAAACAAATACTAACATTCCTTTGCATTAAATAATAATACCCACGTAACTCAAAGATCTTTCAATGATTTAAGTGTATCATAGTTTGGGGACCTTTCTGTTGAAAAAGTGTCAGAGTTAAATCGTATACATATACATGCACAGTGCGGTAACTGGAGTGCAGGTATCAGTTACCCGCACTCCAGATCATGCCCGTTGATTGGCTCATTTTTGCAGGGGTTTACATATTGTGACGGCAGAGAAAGGGAAAGCGGCAGAAATATCATATTCAGCTGCTCGTTCATTGGTTACTTTTTCCCGGGGTTTCATATTGTGACAACAAGGAACGTGTTTTTATGTGTGACTATGATACAAAAGAGAAAGAACAACAAAACACTCGGCAATCTGATTTTTACTCGGGGGCTACGCCCCCTCGTACAAATCAGATAGCCTCGTGTTTCGGTGCTCTTTCTATTACTTATGCACCGACTTTCCAATTATAACACAATAATTGACATGTTAGTCATCATGCTTCTGTCGAATATTTTTTTAACATCTACTAAAGTAACATTTTCTTGAGGCTTTGTAGAATTAAGGTATAAATGTACGGTCTACAATCACCAGCGCAAGTATTAACTTTTTAGGTATAAACAACTAATACAACTAAACGGTTCCATGTATGATTTGGACCACGAAGTGTGTATACTCTCCCAGTACGTTTAACGGTTATCAGAATAAACTACTGGTAATCCGAGACGTGACTGGTATATATAATATTGTCTGAAAATCGTTTTGATCACCATTATCTAGATAATTTTCGAACA